TAAAGTATCATATTCAATATCATCCAAACATAATGCATGTAGTCAAATAGATAATAAAATATCCAACTAATTAACATGAGCTATTAATTAGATAATTCGTAATTTAAATCAAAACCATATGAATTTTATTACAGTAAGAGCCTACATGCATCATCATAAAGTCACATTTAGGCTGACAATACAACATATTATAAGGTACTTTTAGAACATATTATATAGCTAGTTAACAAAATCACGTTGGCTTTCGAAATTTCAACACCGTTGGGTAGAAGGAGATTTCTAGACCAAAGTACTCGTTAACCACTTTATATATATATATATATATATAGAAAAATAATAATGAGTATGCTACTTTGACAATTACCACCCATTTTTATTTCAAAATATCTCTTTGTGGGAAAATAATGATCGTCTCAAAAGCCTATGAAAAATTCAATTACAGAATAATAATTATGCATCAAACAATAATCTTCAATTGATGAAAGACAAAAGTTCATATGTGATTGAGAGACGAAATTGGCAACAAAATTTCAATATATATAAAAAAAATTAAATTAAAGTGCACAAATAATAACAACTTTTAAATGCATAAAGATTTTAACGAAAATATAAAAATCATCAATCAAATTATTATTATTGTTGTTATTTAATATAATTTTAATCAAGTCAATTAAAATTTTAATTGGTGAAAAATTAAAATTTTAAGGTCAAAATACCTTAAAATTTTAAAAGTTCAAATTAAAAGCACCTTTGAAAATCACATCTTAACCCTAAATTTAAAATTAAAACTAGATCCTCCAAAATCTCGAATTACAAATAGGCCCTTCTTTAAATAATTGCAATATGACCCTTGGGTGATAATTGCAACTGGGGGGCACGAAACTTAGTTAATTTCAATTGGAGCTCCTATCTCCCTTAGAATTTATTTTTGTTCGCTGTTGATGCCGGGAAAAAAGAGAGAGGAGCCACAATGGGAGACGATCGTCGAGGGAAAAATCAACAGCAAAATAGCCAGTGATCCAGCTGTCTCAAACAAATTCAACAACAATTTACTTCACAATCAACTCATAAAAAAGAAAGGAAAAGGGGGGAAGCCGACAACAACAATAAAAAAAGAGGAAGAATCGACAACCTATTTGACTGCCAACTCTCCTTTTGCCGGTAGCGATTTTGTTCCTTCTCAGGCTACACAATTTACCATCTCTATTGCCAAGGTATTAAAAAAAAAAAAAAAAAAAAAGGAGTCAAATTGTTTGGTTGAGAGAAGTATTGGGCAGGTGAAGGTTTGGGTAGCGTGATTGTAGGTTTAGTTTTGTAGATTAGGGGAAGGTAACAAGTGGTTTTTGGTTTTCTTTTCACATGGTTACGTATAATAAATGTATGATATACATACGTACAGAGCATTAGAAAACATTAGTGCAATTATTATTATTATTATTATTATTATTATTATTATTATTATTATTATTATTATTACTACTTGTAAAGGAATCTGATTTTAATATGTTGGCTCTGATATCAATTGTTGAATTTAATTGTAATCATGCTAAGAATTAAGAATCGCAATAATAATAAATTGATAAATCGAATCCATACTTGCGGAAACTATAGTTGATATGAATAATAGCAGCTAGATATTTTCCTTCTTACTCCTCACAAAGTATTAGCCGTCAATAAGCAAGCTAATAAAAATAATATGGAGAGGGAACCTAGTTTTTATATAGGAAATAATTGAGTCGTCCCATTACGAGCTAATTAGGGTTTATCCCCGACCCAAATACTTAAAATTACAACATCATATTAAACACAACCCGTAAAGTGTAAAATGTCCAATTGATCACTTAATAAATTTGGCTCAATCACAAATACATTATGAGTCATACATCTAACCCATAAAATTTACAATCGAATGTGAAACACATATTTGAAATTATTCCAACATTTATATCATTAATTAATAGTAAAGAATTCAATAAACTAATAAATAAGAACATAAAAATTTGCGTGGTTCATCGATATGACAAATTACATCCATTGGAGAAGAGGAGATTGTATTTTATTCATCTATGCTTGGCATTTACAACTATACATATATAGTAATATTACATTAACATCGCCTTATTAAGGATAAGGCAATTAAGGAAAAAAGATTTTATAGAAATACTCTAGTTATAATCAATCAAATCACTCAGACACTCACAATATATTCTTCAATATTATTAAATATCCTCCAAATCACACAATAATAAATTCTCCAATATTAGCAAATATCCTTTAGATATCATCAAAGCTCTCTCTTCTTCGAACACTCATTCACAAGGTGGTGCGAAAATATCGATAGAGGCTAACTTGGATAGTATTTCACAAAATTTGACAGTAGATAAGGCTTTGGTGACAACGTTAGATAATTGTCCACTAATACGAATGAATGGAATGCAAATTACCTTGGCTTAAACATGTTCTTATATAAAATGATAATCAACTTCATTGTGTTTTATCCTCTCATAAGAAAATGAACTTGGAGTGATAAGTGTATTTTATACACTTATTTCATTCATTAAACTAGAACAATTTTTGTTATTTAGGATGAATTGATACTTAACTTCATACGTATTTCGTTTATCTAGTGTAACTCAAAGCAAAACAATGAAATTGAACAAAAGAGCGAGAAATTTGCTAATTTGGGCTCAATCAAAAGTTTGGGGACTAAATTGCAAAATATCAAAAGTTGATTTGGACAAGATGTTAATGATTGAAGAAGAGCAAGATACAATTAAATGGTATTAGAAGATGAATGATCAAGAAGATGTCAAATGTAGACCAAAAGGAACGAAGAATGAACTATAGAGACCAAAGTGCAACACATGGAAAATTTTCATAACGGCACGCTGGTCAAAACTCTCGCGTGCGCATGGAGTTGAACTTCATATGTAGAATGTAGAAGTATGCTGCAAGTGCGCAAGGAAGTATGTTGCACGCGCGGGGGCATTTTTCGAAGAAAAATTGGGCAGATTCCTTTTCTGACACACTCTTCTGGAAAGAAAATCCATCATGCTAAAAAACCTAGGAAGATGAACAAGACGCTTTCTTCTTTTTCTGGACGACAAAAAGAGGCTTACAAGGAGAGAAAATCTAAGAGGCAAAGACAACAAGAATATTGACGACAATTGCAGGGAGAATTCATGCAACATAACTAATTTTTTTCTTATTCCGTACTTCTTCTCCATTTTCTTTATTGTGTATTTCATCATGTCAATCAATTCAATTATGAACTAAACATTGAGATCTAGGGCTTGACGTAACTTGTTTGAGACATGTTTTGATTCTAATATAGTTATTTCCTTTGATTTTCCTGAAATTTATTTATGTTGTTCTTGCTTAATGCTTTCAATTGCCTAATCAACGGTTGAATGATTCAGTGCTTTAAGTTTGGTGCTCGAGAGAGGAAAATTTAGGCGTGATGTAAAAATGACATAACCTATAATTCGTAGGTTTCGAGAAGAAGTATAAATCTTTGAGGCTAATTCATTTCAACAATCAGATGCTTGATAATTTCTATATATTTAATTCGGAATAGAGATATTGAGATTAAAATATAGAGAAAAATTCTATTTGGCGCTCAAGAGGGTAGATAATATTAATTTAGGATTCTTGCCTATAAATCCGGAAAAGAATTGCTGGAAATAGCTATAAAGGTTGAAAAATATCGTCGAAAATATGGTGAAATCATTCCCTAGGCATTCATACATTTGATCAAGTTTTTAGAAATTGCTTCACTTTACTTGCACTCTTTAATCCAGATATTTTAGTTTAATATAAAATCATTCATTCAACATTTGATTGTCTATATAAAGTGAAAAGCCAAAATCATTATGGTACTCAGTAGGATTCAAATATCAATTCCTGTGGGTTCAACACTTTTTATTTTATCAATATACTACAAAACTTGACATTGTACACTTGCGGTAAAATCACATTACATAAAATGCGTGGCAAGTTTTTGGCGCCATTGCCGGGGATTGATTCATTTGAATTCGATTGATATTATTACCAATTGGCTTTCGTTTTAATTTGGATTTTTATATTAACTTTAATTTTTATTTGTCTTGTGTTTGTTTCTAATAGCTTCCTTGTTCTTATTTTCAGCTTTTTATGCGAAAGACGAGAAATCTTGACTTACTACATGTTGATCCTGAACCAGAACGTACATTTCACCTTCTAAGGGGTATTCAAAGACACAACCATGAAGCAATGGCAGAACCAGATCCACCAATTGCAAATCAGAAGAATCAGAATGGTCAACAACGGGCTATAAGGGACATCATACCAGTTGTCAACGAAAATTACTCTGGTATTGCACGCCCAACTATTCTGCTAAAAACTTTGAACTGAAGCCAAGACTTGTACACATGGTGCAGTAGAATCAGTTTGGGGGAGCTCCAACAGAAGACCCAAATGCTCATCTGGGATCATTTTTGGAGATCTATGATATAGTGAAAAAGATTGGCGTTACTGAATATGCAATCCGACTCTGTCTATTTTCCTTTTCCCTAAGAGACAAAGCCAAAGCACGATTCCAATCATTGCAGTATGGATCCATCACAACTTGGAAGGGGTTAGCATAGAAGTTTCTTACAAAATTCTTTCCACCTTCAAAGGCAGCACAATTGTGGGGTGAAATTGGGCAATTTTGACAATCAGACTTCGAACCGTTCTATGAGGTATGGAAGAGATATAAAGATCTATTTAGAAGATGTCCTCAGCATGGTTACCTGGATTGGTTGCAGATACAAACCTTCTACAACGATTTGAATGGTCAGATACAGATAGTGGTAGATTCTGCAGCAGGGGGTGCATTATCATCCAAGACTCCAGATGAGGCTTATGCATTATTGGATGAGATAGCTACTAATAGCTATCAATGATCGAGTGAGCGTTCAAGTGCAAAGAAAGTTACTGGCCTTTATGAGGTGGATCCCGTTACCACCCTTCTAGCTCAAATGTCATCTCTCACTAATCAAATAGCTGCATCAACTTCACATGGATCGCAAAAGAAAGCAGAATCTATTCTAGCTACATCCACTGCATACCAGAAAGCTAAAAGGGAGAATGAACAACTTCAGTATGTGAACGATCAACACTTCAATAAAAAGGAAAACTACTCTGGAAACAACTACTATCAGGGTAATCATGCATCTGAACGAAAGCCATCACTAGAAGATATTTTAGGAACCTTCATTTCAGAGTCCAGATCGAGGTTCAACAAAGATAAGGCAAGACTTGACAACATTGAGCTCATATGACCAACTTGGGGGGCCATAGTGAAGAATTTGGAGGTACAGTTTGGTTAGATAGCAACTGCCATACATTTCCAACAGAAAGGAAATTTTTCCAGTGATATGGAGGTCAACCCAAGAGAACACTGCAATGCTATCACCTTAAGGAATGGTAAAGTAGTTAAAGAACGCAAGCCTAGAGAGGTTGTGGTGCCTATATCGGATCACATACTTGTAAGGGAAAAACAGACTGAGAAGCAGAAAATTGAGGCAGAGGTAAAAAAGAAGATTTATAAGCCTTACTCAATTTTATTTTCGGACAACCCACCTATCTTGAAGCCCCCACTACCTTTCCCACAAAAGTATTTGAAAAAAGAGTTTGATGAGAAATTCGTAAAGCTTCTGGAGATCTTCAAGAAAATCCACGTCAACATTCCCTTTGCAGAAGCCTTGGCCCAAATGCCTAACTATGCCAAGTTCGTAAAGGAAGTGATGTCAAAAAAGAGAAAGTTGGAGGAGTTTGAGAATATTAAGCTGACAGGGAAGTGTCGTGTCATACTTCAGAAGAAACTCCCTCACAAATTGAAAGATTTGGGCAGCTTCAATATCCCGTGCAATATTGGTGGTACCACGTTTGATAGAACACTGTGTGACCTTGAGGCTAGCATAAACTTGATGCCCCTATCAGTGTTCAAAAAGCTGGGTCTTGAAGAAGTGAAACCCACAACCTTCATCTTGCAACTGGCAGACAAATCGATCACATATCCCAAGGGCATTATCGAAGATGTGTTGATAAGGTTGATAAGTTCATCTTTTCGGTGGACTTTGTGGTATTCGGTATGGAAGAGGATGAAAAAGTATCATTGATTCTTAGTCGACCTTTCCTGGCTACTGAAAGAGCATTGATTGATGTGCGAGAAGGAAAATTGACACTACAGGCTAATGAAGAGCAAGTAATTTTCAACATCCATCAAGAAAAGAAAGCCCAGAAAAAGGAAAAGTTGACATTTGCAAGATGATCCAATCAATTGAAGTAATTGCAGGAAACAGAGGAAAATGGAAATTGCTTTATGATCCGTTAGTGCAATACATGACAATCAGTTACTCTGCAAGGAATGCATCTACTGATGGTAATGACTCATGAACCAAGAAGGCGGTGGGTTTCATCTTAGCTCAAGAAGCTAACCCACCTGATAAAAAAAAGAGTTATGTGGATAGGCCTTTGACACCTCCAAATATTGTCAAACCAAAAGAGGTCTTGAAGGCCATACCGAGGTCAAAATCGCATAATATCGTTCGCCATTTTACAATGAAGAAGAATACAAAGCCAAGGGTAAAGTTCGAAAACAAGAAAGATGTGCCACCTAAGGATCCACGGTAGGCGTTGCAGTTGAGTCAAGCTAGTGATTATAAAAAAGCGCTTCTTGGGAGGCAATCCAAGCATAGGATAGTTTATTTTATTTCAAAATTTTAATTTAGAAAATCATCAGCCCTACCCCGTCCCCCTTATGTCTTTGAATAATCAAGTTGGTTATTGACGTTCGAGCTAAGTAACACTTGTTCTACGAGATTAATATCTACATTTTGAATTTTTAGGAACATGATGTCGTGGAACAATTAAACCAACATTAACAAGGAGAAGCTGGATAAATCTCAAGATTAGGGGGGAAAACGAGAAGAAGCGTCCATAAAATTCAATATCAAAGCACAGATCGTTGTTGGCATTTCAAACAATTCAAGGAAGTCCTTCACATTTTCTTTTAATTTCACATTGGGGACAATGTTCAGTTTAAGTTTGGGAGGAGTGTATGATAAATTGTCTACTTACCTAATTTTTTTTATTTTGTGTGATTTGTGTGCATTGTTTAAAAAAAAAATTTTAAAAATCGTGTTCTGCATGCTTGTGTGAGTAAGATAGCCTTGTCGGGAATGATGTTTATTATTGAGAATATGAATTGGTTTATGACTTTTGGACAAGTTATGTTTGAGTCAAATTTTGCTTATTTATGTGAAACGAAAATTATTTTGCACGTGAGTTGATTGTAGCGTTGTGCGCGAATAGGTGGATTCATGTTTATAGGTTGGACTAAAGAATTAGATTGTTAAAACCAAACGACCATTAAGCATCAGTATATCCTTAAACCAAATCTAGGATGTTTATACTATTGTGGACAAACTTGTAGATAAATGTGAATTTCGTATATGCCAATTTTTGTGTGGACTGTCTAAGACTAATATGATGAAAATTGGGTGAAAATCTTAAGTTAGATGTCGATTTTTTAGAATGCGTGTTTAATAAGGGGCATTGCACTAAGCATTGCAAAAAAAAAAAAAAAAAAAAAAAAAAAAAAAAAAAAAAAAAAAAAAAAAAAAGATTCCAATGAGGGCAGTTTTAATAATCTCATTGTGAATCGTCTCTTTGTAGCCTTTATGACTCGAGTGATTAAGTCTGATGCCCTAAAATCATTTGATTTGGGAGTCATCGACAAAAAGTTCAATATATAGGGGTTATATAGAAAGTTTAAGGGGAGTACGTCTGCACAAGGGATGATAAAAAAAAAAATACCTTGTTTAAGTCCCGAATACTCATTTTAGAGGATTTGACCTTTTGACAAGAGGTTAGTAATTTGGTTAACTCTTAGAGGTTGAAGCAGCCAAAAGTAAGGAGAATCCTCATTTGTTGACATGTGGAACTGCAATCAGTAAAATCTAACCAAATTTGAGTGGTGTAAGAGATTAGTATTGAAGATTAACCTTAGATTATTACACCATGGGAAAGAGAATAAAAGATAAGTTTGGGGGTGTGTGAATCCCACGAACGAAGTAAGGAAATAGTTGACTTTTAAGGTTGGGAATTTGATCAATTTATTCTTGTACAGCGTTGCACTTCTCTCTATACACATACACACCTAGTTTTACATTGAATATGTAAGAATTTTAGCTTGTACATTATAACTTTGAAGTTATTCATAGAGTTGATGTTATGACTTCAGTCCTGAGTTATGAAGGCAAGATATCTAACGGAATTTATTTTAAGTAATTTTGTGTGTTTTAGCTGTGTTTGTGTGGATATTAATGATTTTATTTGATTTGGCTTTTGTTTGAGGACAAACAATTGTTCAAGTTTGGGGATATTTCATAAGTGTATTTTATACACTTATTTCTTCATTAAACTAGAGTAATTTTTGTTATTTAGGATGAATTGACGCTTAACTTCATACATATTTCATTTCTTAGGTGTAAGTCGAGGCAAAACAATGAAATTGGACAGAAGAGCGTAAAATTTGCTAACATGGGCTTAATCAAAAGTTTGGAGACTAAATTGCAAAGTATCAAAAGTTAATTTGGACATGATGTTAATGATTGAAGAAGAGCGAAAGGCAATTAAATAGTATTAGAAGATGAATGATCAAGAAGATGTCAAATATGGACCAAAAGGAGCGAAGAATGAACTATAGGGACCAAAGTCCAACACATGGAAAAATTTCATAATGGCGAGCATGCGCAGGTCAAAACTCTTGCACGCGAACTGAGTTGAACTTCATATGCAGAACGTAGAAGTACTAGGTGGTGCGTGCGCAAGGAAATATACTGGGCATGTGGGAGGGCATTTTTCAGAGAAAAATCGGGCAGATTCTTTTTTTGACACAAACTCTTACGGAAAGAAAATCTATCATGCTAAAAAACCAAGAGAGACGAACAGAACGCTTTCTTCTTATTTTGGACGACAAAAAGAGGCTTGCAAGGAGAGAAAATCGAAGAGGCAAAAATCAACAAGAATAATTACAAGAAAATTGATGACAATTAGGGGAAGAATTCATGCAACACAACTAATTTTTTGTCTTATTCCCTACTTCTTCTCCATGTTCTTTATTGTGTACTTTATCATGTCAATCAATTCAATTATAACTAAACTTTGAAATCTAGGGTTTGACGTAACCTAAGACATGTTTTAATTCTAATACAATTATTTCCTTTGATTTTCCTGAAATTTATTTATGTTATTGTTGCTTAATGCTTTCAATTGCCTAATCAACAATTGAATGATTTAATACTTTAAGTTTGGTGCTCGAGAGAGGTAAATTTAGGCGTGATCTAAAAATGATATAACCTATAATTCGTAGGTTTCGAGAGAAAGTGCGAATTTTTTAGGCTAATTCATTTCAAGAATCAGATGCTTAATAATTTCTATATGTCTAATTCGGAATAGAGATATTGGGCTTAAAATTTAGAGATAAATTCTATTTGGCGCTTGAGAGAGGGGATAGAATTAATTTAGAATTCTTGCCTATAAATCCGGAAAAGAATTGATGGAAATAACTATAGAGGTTGAAAAACATCGTCGAGAATATGGTGAAATCATTTCTCAGGCATTCATACAAATGATCAAGTTTTTTGAAATTGCTTCACTTTACTTGCACTCTTTAATCCATATATTTTAGTTTAATATAAAATCATCCATTCAACATTTGATTGTCTAAATAAAGTGAAAAGCCAAAACCATTATAGTACTTAGTAGGATTCAAATATTAATCCCTGTGGATTTGACACTTTTTATTTCATCAATATACTACAAAACTTGACACCGTACACTTGCGGTAAAATCATGTTACATAAAACACGTGGCATGGAGCAATATGGATATTAGATTGATTATTGCAAGATATCTGTGTGGGTTGTGACGAGCCAAAATCCAAATTTTTCAAAAAAGATTTCACTTGTAGTAGAAGTCATTGCCTGATGTTCAACTTCAACTCTATAGCATGCAACAATATCCTACTTTTTCCTCCTCCATTTCACTAACTTCCCTCAAACAAAAAAATGTAATATCCTATTATAGATCACTTGTCAACAGTATTGCCAACCAAATCTGCTTCGTATATATCGTAAAAAATAATGACCATTTTTACGCATCTTTATACCTCTTCTAGGTGATTTCTTGAAATAGTGCAAGATTTGATTTGCAACATTCATATGTGTAACTCGTGGAGAATGTATAAAGCATCTAACTAGGCTGAAGGCATATGAAATATCAGGTCGAGTAATTGTCAGGTAAATCAGCCTGCCTACCAATCTTTGTAATTGACCTACATCAGATAATAGGTCACCATCAACTGTTAATTTTAAATCACTCTATAGGAGTTTGAGCTGGCTTGACATCTATATTTGTTAGTGTTTTGTAATAGATCTAACATGTATGTCATTTGATTGAGAAATATGTCCTTCTTTGAATATGCAATCTCTAGTTCAAGAAAATACTTCAAAATTTCCAAATCCTAATAAAAAAATTGAGTATGAAAAATATTTTTAGCCTTGATATTTCAGCGAGATTATCACTAGTAATAACTATATCATCATTATAGATCAAAACAATAACAATACCAATCATACATTTTTTCATGAGCAAGGAAAAATATACATTGCTCATTTTACACCATTATTGACAAGAACTTAGTTCGCCATACCATGCACGACGAGATTATTTAAGATCAAATATAGCTTTTTTTTAATTTACATGTAAGATCACTACGCCCTTCAACGATGGTTTAGAGGTATACTCATATAAACTTCTTCTTCAAGATCATCTTGCAAAAATGCATCCTTTGGATCCATCTAAAACAATTTTCAATCTTGATTGACAGCTAGGGATAAAAGCACATGGAATATGTTCATTTTGGATACAAGAGCAAATATCTCATTGTAATCAACTCCAAAAGTTTGGGTGAAACCTTTTGCAATAATACATCTTTGTGTCTCTCAATAGATCCATTACTTCGAAACTTGATTTTATAAACCCAACAACACCCAACCACCTTTTTTCTTATAGCAATTTTACAATTGACTAGGACTTGTAACTCTGCCTGTTTTGCTTGTTTTTAAATAGGACTAGAATTTGCTTCTCTAAAATTATTGTGCTCTTGAGTTGAAGAAAACGAAGTTAGAAAAGTTGAATGACATGAAGATATATTATGATAAATGTGCTTGTATGATGGCATACGGCTTACAAGTATCAAATTCT